TATTGAAGATAGCCAGAAATTATTATAAAATTCTATGATTGGGTTGGGGTTGTGGCTCAGTGGTAGAGCACTTGCCTAGTATGTGTGAGGCACTGGGTTCAATTCTCACCACCACATATAAATAAATGAATAAAGTAAAGACATAATCAATGTCTAAAAAATGTTTTAAAAAAATCTGTGCTAATTATCTGGCCCTGTCTTTTACACTTACTGCATACATGGGCTAGCCCACCACCTTGTGAATTATTCATCTATCTAGTGCAACTTACTTCGGTAACTAAACAGGATCTCCTATCATCTGCTAGCCATGTCTTTGTTGTTTCACCTCACTTGTTTTCAAGAAGTTGTGAGATAAAATGATAATTAAAATTCACCACCAGTACCACACCACCTTCTATACATTGACCATCACCTACTCAATGCAATAAACACATACTTGATTTCATATAGATTATCACAATCATAATCATCTCAGTAGAGAATTGATAATAGAAATGTTACTTTCTCATAGTTATTGAGCCTAAAGGACCTTATGGATTTTATTCACCTGCCTTCAGATTTTCCAAATCTTCATTTCATTCATCTCCCTCTGTTTTCCAAAACAAATAGTTATCTTTCTAAAGGATCGTCCATTCAACCAAAACACTTAAAAGAAAATAGTTCTTTCATCTAGTTTCTTTTTTTTCTTTCTTTCTTTTTTGTAATGAACTCTTTGGGATTGAGAAATGCATATTCAAATTTGAAAGGTGTATAGCCATTTGTATCCAAGTTTTTCTTGCTCTGGAAATAATGAAAGCATGAGTGGTGGGGGAAATTACCTGCAGACTTCAGAGGGTAAATATTCTAAAAGCAGCACCAATTATTTATTAAATTATCTTAATTTGGAATTAATAACCTGGACTTTTGGGGTCTTGGTCTTGCCAACAGTCTCCCCAAAAGCAAATTTCTCGCTTGCTCAGCAAAGGATGTGAGTAACAGGCATTTTTTTTGTTTTTTAAATTGCTTTTATTGTCTAAGTACATGACAGCAGAATGTATCACTATTCTTATTACACATATAGAACATAGTTTTTCATATCTCCATATATAAAGTAGGTTAAAAACAATTTGTGTCTTCATACATGTACTTTGGATAATGATGTCCATCACATTCCACCATCATTGCTAACCCCCTGCCCCCTCCCCTACACCCCTCTTCCCTATCTAGAGTTTGTCTATTCCTCCCATGCTGCCTCTCCCTACCCCACTATGAGTCAGTCACCTTATATCAGAAAACATTCACCATTTATTTTTTGGGGGGGATTGGCTAACTTCACTTAGCATTATCTTCTCCAACTGCATCCATTTAACTGCAAATGCCAGGATTTTATTCTCTTTTAATGCTGAGTAATATTCCATTGTGTGTGTGTGTGTGTGTGTGTGTATGTATGTGTGTGTGTATATATATATATATATATATATATATTATATTATATTTTTTAATCCACTCATCTACTGAAGGGCATCTGGTTTAGCTCCACAGTTTATCTATTGTGAATTGTGCTGCTATAAACATTGATGTGGCTGTGTCCCTGTAGATTGATGTTTTTAAGTCCTTTGGTTATAGACTAAGGAGAGGGATAGCTGGGTCAAATGATGGTTCCATTCCCAGTTTTCCAAGAAATCTCCATACTGCTTTCCATATTGGCTGCACCAATTTGCAGTCCCACCAGCAATGTATGAGTGTACCTTTTTCTCCACATCCTTGTCAACCACTTATTGTTGTTTGTCTTCATAATAGCTGCCATTCTGACTGGAATGAGATGGTATCTTAGAGTAGTTTGATTTGCATTTCTCTAATTGCTAGAGATGATGAACATTTTTTCATGTTTGTTGATTGATTGAATATCCTTTTCTGAGAAGTGTCTATTCATGTCCTTGACCGATTTATTGATTGGGTTATTTATTTATTTATTCATTTTTGGTGCTTAGCGTTTTGTGTTTTTTTATATACCCTAGAGATTAGTGCTCTATCTGATGTGTGAGGGGTAAAGATTTGCTCCCAAGATGTAGACACTCTGTTTACCTCTCAAATTGTTTCTTTTGCTGAGAAGAAACTTTTTAGTTTGAGTCCACCCCATTTATTGATTCTTGATTTTAATTCTTGTGCCAAAGGGAGTCTTAATTAAGGAAATTGGGGCCTAATCCCACATGATGAAGATTAGGGCCTACTTTTTCTTCTATTAGACGGATTGTCTCAGTACCAGGCATTTTGGAGAGTAGAGACAGGACCTAATAAATCTCACTCCAGGATATCGTCTTGTCTTTTACAGAACACTGCTGGGTATATATATCAAGCCATAGAAAATGGCACTGAAAGGATATTTTCCTAGATCCTTTGTACTCACTGAAAGGATATCCTCTTGTTTTATGATGCTTACAACTGTGATCATTAAGAGTCTGAATCATATAGGAATAGTGAATACTCACATCCTTCATGTGCCTAAGAGATCTGGTTAGTTCCCAGCACTGAGTAGATGCTCAGCAAATCATAAGATGCTGCACAAAAATGCACAACAAATGATTCAATGACCAGGAAGGCTCATGTAGAGTGAATTAGTAAATTAACAATGAAGCAACCATTTTGACTAGTTATTTTTTTAACTCTATAGCCAGCTTCTTTGCATCATAGGTCATGCTTCCACATTTGATAGAAGTAGTGCAGTTTTTGAGATTTCCTGGCTATGTTTTGAGATAGCAGCTAGCTCAGTGTATTGAACTTAGTAGTTGACACTACTAGTCTGTACATGAAATAAGAAGCACATTGGCTTTTGTAATCTTTAAATATAATTATCATGTGTTTGGAATCTGAATTAAGGATGAGAAGGAAGCAGGAAGGTCACTGCACTGAAGTTTACTTTAGTCTGCATAGAATTAGAATATAGTAGAGTCTTGGAGAACCAATACATTTTAAATTAAAATCTAAAAATGACCAATCCAAGGAAGCTTCAGAAGCCTTTAGTGAGAAGAAGAATGAAAGAGAATTTAAGCTTAAGATGTGCTACAGAAGTAGGCAATGGTAGACTGCTCAGCTGTACATCAGCAAGATGGTTCTACCTATCTTTACTTTCTACACTGAGTGGGCTCAAAGAAGTTTCCTTTATTCTGGAATGAAATGTAAGTTGGTCTGATTGCAAGGAAGGAATGATGAATGCAGACATCATTTTGTAAACATATCCCTTCACTGTTTTTGAAGGAAGAGAGAAGAAATGCCAGGAAGATCTTACATTATTTCAGCTATGATTAGAAAGCAAGAGACAACAATTTTTGATAAATACAGAAGAGATGGGGTTGCAAGGTTTCTGAAAGTAGACTGGAAGAAGTTTTGAGTTTGTAAGTTCTCCCAAGTGGTTAAAAAATAAAAAGGAACAATTAGGACTGTTTTGTGAAGAGGAAATAGCTTAAAACCTTTCTTAGCATCTACAGTAGCACAGTGAACTATAAATAATCCAGAGAACTTGAATTTGTTGCTGTGCTTGAATGTTTTTATGGCCCCATTTCTACCATGATAAATAAGATCACTCTCTCACTTGGGTGCATATGCACTTTTCTATATGGATGGGTGCAATCCCTACTTCACTGAACATAGGTTGATGAAATATTTTATAAAACAAAAATCTCATTAATTTATGCTCCACCAGTTTTGAGTTTTTGATCATTTGAACAGGAATTGAGCAGAAGTTTCCTTGAGTATTAACCATAAAGACAGGGTTTATTGAGCAAGTTAATACCATAGACAAGATTCAAAAAGAATATTTTTTTAACTATTTAGGACAAAATACAACTTCCAATCAATTTTTGGATGTATACTTTCTGATAAAACATTTGTAATACTAATTTCTTTCATTAATTCAGATTGATCTCAGAAAATTTCCGGGTTTCAATGATTATTTAAATGTATCTAATATTTCTCTACTGTTTTTTTTCACTTTTTAAAAAATTTTATTTATTTTATTCATGTTAGTTATTGATGGACTTTTATTTTTTATTTATATGTGGTGCTGAGAATCAAACTCAGTGCCTACATATTCGAGGCAAGTGCGTTATCACTGAGCCACAACCCCAGCCTGTTTTTTTTCTTCAGCTTTTTTTTTTTTAATTTAGTACAGGGGATTGAAACGAGGGCCTCACATAGCAAAGCATATACCTCACTTTTGAGCTACACTCCCTGCCTCCCCACTGGTTTTAAATACAGTGAGCTAGCTCAGGTTAAGAGGACCCCATGACAAGAAATAGATGCAGAAACCTTTCTAACCTATTAATATGATGGGCAAGAAGTTTTTATTCTAATACTTCTGTCAAAAAGGGGTAAAATGCATAGGGGTTCCTCATTGCCAAGTGAAAGAAAATAACATAACTGGATTTGGAATGAGGAAGATCAGTTTATTTTGAGTAGCCCATGTATGAAGTCCTCTAGATATCAAGGGATAGTCATCTGTTTCTGGGTTAAGTACTTCTATTTTCTTATTCACTTATTGTAGTTGCCCCATGTGGTCATTCTGTGACAGAAAAACCACGTTATATATGCACTTGAGACAGTATTCAGTATGATTTTTACCTATGTATTGAAAGTCTACTAAGTATTTAATGATCCCAATTGAAGTTGGAAATTTAATCAAAATATGATCTGATATTGTGGTGGAAAGATTTAAGAAACATTTTTTTCTCCAATAGTTTAAAAAAACTTGATTTATTTCTTTAAAGAGTCATCTTATCTTGGGAATCAAGATTCTGGACCTGCATGCAACTATAATAAAAAACATTATTTTAATCACTAAAGGTCTAGCTATTCAGAATCTGAAAATATTTTCACATAAAACTCATACTGTGAATAGTATCGTTCTGCACAGAGAACTAAATAACCATTTATTTTGGTGTTGTTTCTTTAGGTGAATTCTGAAAACATCGAAACTTCAAGATTTTTCAGTAACCCAGTATACGTGGACTTTCTCTGTAAAGAAAATGTCATCTGCCACAACGGTACACGGTTATGTCCAAATATGGAAAAGGAAGACAGGGATGTCTAAATCAACAGCAGCATTCATTGAAACGGTGGAAGGAAAGAAGAAAGTTAAACTGATGCTCTATTTCAATACTGGACAAGTTAAAACTTTCCAGCTGGGTGATAATATTAAAAGTGTGGCCTTTAGATCCTATGGACAAAATGAAAATCACCTGCATTTAACTTTCCAAAATAATGACTTCTTGTTTATTGAGAGATTATCATCCACCCATGCCAGAGAGTTGAAGACACTCCTAGACAGAGTCCATCAAGTTGGGGATCAACCACCCATGAAACCTGGCAAGGAGGATGGCGTCTTTACCAGCACAACCATACAGAAGGGGATCAGTAAAACTTTATCACACAAAGTTTATAAGACATCAAGTAGTGGACACCTGGAGGTAGCCAAAGAAAGAACCTCTTACATTCAGAAGATGTCTTTGTTTGCAGAAAAATCATCATTTATTAGAAAAGGGCTATTTGTACATCATTTTGGGAAGAGGAAAAGAATACTAGCATCTGATTTAGAGATGAATAAAAATGAGAAACTCATGAAAGAAAATTACTTCAAAAGAAGCACATACAAGATAAATCCCTGGAAGTTTGTGAGCCACACTTGGGAGAAACAATTAAAGGCAAGAGAGTTAAGAGAGAGAAAGAAATTGCCATTTGAATCTTCATTTGTGACCAGCTTTCTTGGAAATCCTTACCTAGATGTTACTATTCCCCACATTATCACTGAGAAAGTATTTGTGCCATTTTTTTGGGAAACAAGTTATGGTGAGTATATCCCAGAGTGGGATATACTTGAGAAATCTGTTACACTTTTCCCAGAGAAAGTATGGCAGGGTCTCCCCAATTTGGGAAACACGTGTTATATGAATGCAGTTTTACAATCCTTATGTTCAGTTCCATCGTTTGTTAATGATTTACTCAATCAGGGTTTCCCATGGGGTAAAATTCCCCATGATGCTCTTAGCTTGTGCTTGGCACAGCTGCTTGTTTTGAAAGATATTTATAATATAGCAACAAAGGAGAAGTTACTTGTGAGTATTAAAAAAGCCATTTCACTAGTTGCAGATATATTCTCTGGCGATGTACAGAATGATGCTCATGAGTTTTTAAGTCTTTGTTTAGATCAGATGAAGGAGACCATGCAAAGATTAAGCTTAAGGTGGAAGACTAAAATTGAATCGGAGGAAGATTCGCCTGAAAAGCTTTTGTTTGCTTATTCTCCCACCAAAATGATTGTTTGTCCTGTCATCACAAATTTTGAGTTTGAGATACTGCGCTCTATTTTTTGTAAATCATGTGGTCGGGCTGTTCTTAAGACAGAACCAAATAACTATCTCTCCATCAACCTTCCCCAAGGAACAAAAGCCGATCCTTTGTCTATTCAATCTACTTTTGACCTTTTCTTTGATGCAGAAGAGCTTGAGTATAAGTGTGAGCAGTGTAATCACGATAGGTCTATTTCAGTACACAAATTCAATAGGCTACCCAGGGTCCTTATTGTTCATCTGAAACGCTATAGATTGAATGAGTATTGGTCCTTAAGGAAAGATGAGCAGGAAGTCATTATTCCCACCTATTTAAAGTTGTCTTCTCATTGCAATGAGAACACAAAACCACCTCTTCCACTTAGCGAGAATGCCCATATTAAGGATTTCCGTTTACTAAAAATTTTTCAAAAAATGAGTTTTGGAATTCTCAACTTAACAATGCCTGCAACAAAGTCGACCTCAAAATCCAAAGATTCCCTGCCTTTACACATTGGATCAAATAAGAAATCTGTACCACAAAAATTTCAGCGATTCTTAAAAGGGGCAGGTAGAGAGCAGCAGCAAAAAGACTTGGAAAAAAATTCTAAACTGAATATAATAAAGTCAGAATTGGCATCCTCAGGAAATGTAATGCTTACTGAACAACAGCTATCTGCTGGCTCTATGAATTATGTGAAAGATACCTCCCTTTCTCCAATTTGCAAAGATGGAGGTAAACCAAGCTCAGACACATCTCTTGCAGATAAACCCAGCCTAGACACATCTCTCACAGAAGCTCATTTTCAAGAAGTATCTGAAAATACAGAAATAAAGAAACACGAGGAAACTAATGGATTTGTAGAGTTAGATTTTAGTAGTTTTAGTGAGACTACTGAAGATTTGTATGAAGATAAAAATCCCAGCATTCCTGGAATATTCCAAAATGTGGCTAGACAGACCCAGCAGTGTGATAGCGTGAGAATCCATAAGCAAGCCCTTGAACAAGCACTTCCTCAGAGCCTTCCAAAGCTAAATGCTCAGGAGCACACACAGAATCTCAGACCTACAGAAATAAATGTCCAGAAGCCTGATGTGAATTCCTTATGTTCAGTGGATGCCAATAGGAACCCTGAAGATAAGGATATTTTAGATAAGACAGAATCAAAAGCCAAGGAACCAAAGGAACCAAAAAGAAGTGCCGATAAAAGAGATCGTCATACTTATAGGCTCATTGGTGTTATCAGCCATATTGGGAGTACCACCCATTCAGGCCACTATATCACTGATGCCTATGACTTTAAGAGGCACCTCTGGTTCACTTACAGTGATTTACAGGTATCTAGTATCCAAGAGGTCCAAGTGCAGAAGTCTAGGCTTTGCACAGGTTACATCTTCTTTTACATGCATGATGAGATCTTTGAAGAGCTATTAACAAGGGGAGAGAGCTCCCAGTCTTGTAGCACCAAGGCAAGAAAAACCCCTCAGGCGCAGTAGTAGAAACGGACTCCTTGTTTCACACATCCCCTTGACTTCCTCCGTCACTACCATTTCCTCCAGAGAACTCCAAACTCTGTCCCAGAGATGAAGAAGTTACTATCCCACAAGCAAAGTTCAAATAGAAACATACGGGGATACCTCCTTTCTAAACCTGACACACCTCAATCCCAGATCTCTTGATCAATGAGCATTGATCATTCCTACAAGACGAACTGTTGCTTTTCATGTTTTAATGCAGTGGCTTTAAAAGTGAAACAGGAGCATAGTAAACTAACTAGAAATGCAGAATGGGTTCCACTGTAGACCTGCTGATCCAGAAATTCAGGGCAGCAATCTGATGGTGATTGTGATACTTGATAAAGTTTAGGAACCACTGCTGTAGTGTGTACAGTACCTTGGTCTATTTTGCTATTGTACATTTGAATTGTTCATTTTAAAAATGGTTTTAATTACATTTTTCTGTATTTGTATCTAATTACTTTTGTACTTTTAAACTCATTAAAAGTACAAAAATTGGTTTTCTACTGATTGTACTCATTGATTTGGTAGGAAAAAAGAGGTGCTGGGATCCTGGCAACTACCTCCTCAATAAATGAGGCTGATAGTTTTTGAATACTTCTTAGTGTTATAACTGAAAAAGTGAAATCTCCACATAGGATGCTAAGCCCTTTTCCTCAATAGCAAAGGGGTTATATACCTCAGACATTGATCTTGAGAATGGGAAAGTTGATTTGCCCTCAAGAATTGGCCTATTTTTCCTGTTTGTCTTTTAGAAAGGTATTGGCCCTTGGTGATCTGAGCCCACTTGGCCATTTCAGTCTTCTCTAAGGGGCACCAGCCTTGCCTAAAGTATTTACTATGACTTTATCTGCAAAAATTTGAATAAGTTTCTGCATTGAACATAAGATTAAGTTCCAGATTTCTTTCACAAGTATAATGACCTTGTTCCTTCAATTAGTAAATAGTACATGCTTTAAAGTACACTTGTAGGATTTGAAAGTCTTGTTCTGATGTGATACAACATGAGAAAACCTGTATCGAAACAATCTGCTTCTGGAGAAAGCCATGTGTATTCTGTGGTGGTCATATTTTGTAAGAGCTCTGTGTAATACAGGGATTTAATAATTCTTCTAATACCAAGCATGCATCATTACTGTAATGCCTTTTCTTGCCTTCAAGACAGTGGATCTGTAGTACCTTGTGTGTTTGTTGGGAACAAATGATTTATACTAAGACCTTTTCACATCACATAGAGGCATTGATTTTCAGTCTCATCTTTACCAACTTGAGTTCTACCCCTTGTCTGGGTATGGTTTTGATATAGCTGTGTTAAACCAAGAATGTGTTGATGTTCTTAATCCTAATCCTAAAAGGCTTTAATAAAGTGAGTTGGAATTTTAATGGTGTGGAGAAGTCCAAAAGTTTAGGGAATTCTGTTATTCAAAAAACAGTGAATCTAAAAGGAGGTTTAAATGGGACCTGAAGGTTGGTAAGGTATATAGTTGGGAGTCTCCTAGATTGAGGTAATCACTGTTCATGGAAGAAAGTGTTTTAGACACAAGTTGTTCAACCTCTATAGCACTTCAGCAGCTTGAGGCAGCTAATAAGGCTGGACGTAGATGTAGAGGAGGCAAGCAACAGTTCAACTTCTAAATTCCAGACTTTAGATCTCTTCAAAATTAGTTATGGAGGCCTCAGAAGAGTGAAGGAGTTGTTTTGAAAAGAGTACAAAGATCCCTATATATCAAAGTTCAGGGTTTTTTCCCCCATTGATTACACCCTGGACATGTTCTTTAGCATATAGCAGATTGGAAGGTAAAGATAGGGGTATCTAGGACAGGGAGGATCTTGGACAAAATCTATCATTGTCCCGTGAAAGGAATTTGAGTACACAGCATCTATACTATCTACAAGTTACATTGCTACTTCAGATAAAAGATAAATTAGTGACAATCTGTTATGGATGTAAATTGGTTTTCTAATACATGAATCAGGTTTTCAAGTATTCCATGGAGATAAATGTGACACATAGTGCACTTTTGCCTATTCAACAAATTACCACAAAGTTAATATCTGAAAATCTTATTAGTTTTGGAGATTGAGTTTGAGCTAGGTGTCACCAGGCTAAAACCAGGTGTTATCAGGGCTGTAATCCTTCAGGATGTTCTGAGGACAAAATTTGTCATATCCAAATTCTAGAAGCTGTTCAAATTCCTTGGCTTTTGGCCTCATTCCTTCATCTTCAATGTCATCAATGTTGGGCTGAATCCTTCCTGCTATGTCTATTTTCCCCTTGTCTGCCTTCTTCTTTTAAGAAACATCGCAATTAGATTAGGCCCACAGTAATCCAGGATATTGCCCTGTGTTAGGGTTGGCAACCTTAATTCTCATTTGCCTCATAACAACGTATTCAGTTACCAAGGATTAGGATGTGACCATCTCTTTGATATTCTGCCTACCACACGACTGATAGAAATTAACAGAAAACCACTACCACAACAACAAAAGCTTGGTGGTTCAGGACTCAGTAGTACCAGGCTAAGAATGCAAAGCTTCTGAGGTGTTTAGCTGAGTGTGAGGGAAATGTCACTGGTGATTAAAGAACTCCAACCTTGAGGCCAATTAGAAAAAGACTATAGTTGCGTTACATATTTATGAAATGCAATTGTATACTCCTGCTTTTTACTCTTCTATTTCCTATATTTAATATTATGTACAAGTTTATTGAAGGCAAATTTGTCCTTAGGTACAGATTATTCAATGGAATCCTGATTGAATATGAGGACTACTTAATAGGGCCCATGATAAATGCAATAACTTGAGAATTGGTCAGATAATTGGAGACAAGTGAGAACTTCAAGGACTGGCGTGTCTAGAGCTGTTGCTGGAGGTGGTAGTGCATGCCTGTAATCTCAGCAACTTCCTAAAGAAGGAAGATCACAAGCTCAAGGCCAGCCTCAGTAACTTGTGAAACCCTGGCTCAAAAATAGAGATGGGGATGTAGTTCAATGGTAGCATTCCCCTGGGTTCAATCCCTAGTCAAAGGAAGTAAGGGAGGAGAGTTATTCTGCTACAAGGGAGTTCAAATGTGTACATGGGTGAATCTGGAAGCTGAGTAACCAGGGGGTTGACTATGCCAGTTATCAGTGTATTGTCCCTCAGCTTCAAGTATACCCTTCAACAAATCTTGGCAACAATTTATTAAATTCCTTTAAACATTCCCTTCTCCTTTACAATAAACATATAGGAGCTTTCTTGGTGGAGGGCATCTCAGATACACTGCAAGTAAAAGGTGCTTTCTTGCTGTTTCTTGTTTGTGATGGACTAACAATCCTGTTGTATCTGGTAGTAAAATATCCCAGCCATGAACTCAGAACGGGTGGTCCCTGATGCCTTCAGTTCCACCCTGACCAGGTGATCACTTTCCTGCTACATTCTCAAGGTAGACACCATACACTAGTGGGCCTGACCTTCACTGGTGTCCTGATTACCTCTGCTCCTATCCCTTTTCCATGCTTGCATCCATGGTCCTTATCCTACAGATAAATCTATTAGTTGTAATTATTTATATTGAATTCCTATTTAAGTTCTGTCACTTGTTTGGACCCAGACTGATAGAGGTTGATCCAGATGAGGTATTCTAGCTAGAATATTTAAATTAAATCCAAAGTTTTTTAAATGGGATCTTTTTATTGCTGTATTTTTTGTATGTAAAACATCACAAAGAATGTTGAATTCAGGCCAGGTGTGGTGGCACACGCCTGTAATCCCAGAGATTTGGGATGCTGAGGCAGGAGGATCACAGTTCAAAGCCAGCCTCAGCAAAAAGCAAGGCAATAGGGCTGGGGTTGTAGCTCAGCAGTAGAGTGCTCAGCTAACACGTGCAAGGTGCTGGGTTCTATCCTCAGCACCACATCAAAATAAATAAAATAAAGGTATAAAAAAAGCAAGGTGATAAACAACTCAGTGAAACCCTGTCTCTAAATAAAATACAAAATAGAGATGGTGATGTGGCTCTGGGGTTAAGTGCCCCTGAGTTCAATCCTCAGTACTGGAAAAAAAATGCTGAATTCAGAATCACAATAGTCCAGTTCTTCATGTAACTTCTGGCAAAGTATGACTGAGATAAGCAATAACTTATATTTTATGCTTCATATTGCTATGTTGATAACATTAGGGTCTACTGGATGGTTTTATGGGGTTATTGCAGTTTAATCACATAAACCACATGCCAGTGACAAGGAGTTTGGACATCACTCTTGGTTTATGCTCATCTATCAACCTGTTTACACTTCTCTCTCTGTTGACCCACCCAGTAAAAATATTTCAAAAGAGAAACCTTAGAAACATTTGTTTCTGTAACCTAAAAGAGTGCTTTTATTTCTCCCAACAAACACATTAAAGATTTCATGCTTGAGATTACCAGTGTACTAGGCAAAACAGACTCATGGCCTAGAATAATTTAGCCAACACATAAACATACTTTTGAGTTTTTCTAGAAATATAGCAAGATGCTCTTTAAAACTTTGTGTTGCATCAGTGAGGATTCACCAGACAAACAGAACCAATAGGATATGTGTGTATGTGTATGTGAGTTGGTGTGATGATAATTTTAAGAGTATATGGGCTAAGGGATGCTCAGATAGCTGGTAAAATATTTCCAAGTAGGTCTGTGAATGTGTTTCTGGGAGATATTAGTATTTAATTCAATAGACTGAATAAAGAAAATTGTGCTTACCAGTAGATATGGGCATGATCCAATTTGTTGGATAATGGGGTGATAATTTAAAAGGCATAGGAAGGGAAAATTAGCTCTTGGCTTCAGCTGGGATATTCATCTTCTGCTCTCCAACATCAGTGTTCCTAATTCTTGAGCCTTCACATGGAGACTGGAACTTTTCCCTGTTCTCAGCTCTTTGAATTTGCACTACACCCAGGCATCAGTTTTTCCTGGGTTTGAGGCTTGCAGACTGCGAATATGAGACTTCTCAAACCTC